CTCCCTAAAAGCACCTCTGATTGCAGAACATTAAAGTGTGCAAGCATGTATGCTCTGCAATGATGTAGGGCTGTTAAATTTGACAGATACTTCGCAGTAGGTAAAGGTAAAGGTTCCCTTGCTCGAAAGCCAGTCGAATCCGACTCTAGGGTTGCAGTGCTCATCTCCGTTTCCAAGCCGAAGAGCCAGCGCTGTCCGAAGACGTTTCCGTGGTCACGTGGCCGGCATGACTAAACACCAAGGCGCACGGAATGCTGTGACCTTCCCACCGAAGTGGTCCCTATTTATCTACTTGCAATTTCTTGCTTTCAAACTGCTAGGTTGGCAGGAGCTGGAACTAGAGACGGGAGCTCATGCGGCACCCGGGTCTTGAACTGCTGAACTACCGACCTTCCACAGCCTGCAGTTCAGCGTCTTAACCACTTGAGCCACCGCAGCTCCTACTTCGCAGTAGAGCCCATGTCAAAAATCCCCAACCTGCTTAGGGAGCATCTGCTGGCTGCGCGTTCCCTAAATTCTTGCCTTTCGATGTCGAGAAATCTTTGTTTAATGATAGCCTAGGCTTGTCTATCTGAAAAGGGGGCTAAATAATCCGGGGATATTCCCATTGTAGAGAGTTTCTCCTCTACATATCTAAGGCATGGAGAGAGATGGGACTCAGTTAACATGTGAGTAATAATACTTTTAGCTTTAGCATGGAAATGACGTGTAAGCCAAAACTGAGTTGTTATCAGCCAGGCTCTGGTAGGAGGGAGGCTATTCCCTCTCTGAAGTTGGGCAGCAGCAAGGTTGTAAACCTGTTCCAGGCGGGGCCCGAAGATCTCCCAGAGTTACAACTGATCTCTAGACTACAAAGATAGCTTCACTGGAGAAAATGGTTATTTTGGAGAGTGGGCTCTTTGGCATTATACCCCACTGAGGTCCCTCCGCAACCCACCCACCCCAATTCCAGGGGTGTTGCCAACCCAGATTCGGCAACCACAGGCAGCAGTGCAGATGCCTTTGAAAGGAGCTGACCCCTCGCCACAAGCGGAGGGCTAAGTCTGACCTAAAGGGGATCAGCCATTGAAACTGACAGAAATCAAGTAAGACAGTTACATTAGGCAGTATCACGTTTCCCCCCAGCCAGTCTCTTTACCTGGGAGTCTTGCTCTGTGTGTCTGTTTTGGTGTACCCTGTGTTAATTCTTCTCCTTTTTCATAACTGTTCTCTTCTCTAGTCAGTTGTCACAGTATTTGGTCTTTTTTGTTCAGTCTGTCTGGGTCCTCTGCCCCTTGTCAGCCTTACCACAGGGCAATCCCTGACGGGAAGCAGGAGGTGCTGGTGGGGTGTATGTGTGTGTGCTCTGGGCCCTCCCCAGTCAAACCCCAGAACCAGAGTGGCGGCAGTTAGTGAAGGACCGCGCCTGCTCCTGGGCAGGAGGGAAGGAGGAGGAGTGTGGTGCCAGAGGGATCCCTGTTCACAATAAAAACTCCACACGGCCTTGCCCCTTCCCACAACAGCAAGGGAAACTCAAGTGTTTCCAGGCGGGCCTGTTCACCTTGTTATACGCACAGTTTATGAAACACCGTTATGCACTCAGCACTCTGTCTGACTTAGTAGGCTAACCTTAGTGGACTCAGTTAGCACCTTTGACATACACAGACATACAGACATGTTAAGTGCCATTGATGATTCTAATTACAGAAACAGAAATCAGTTATGAACACATATTCAGATATTCACTTTGGTTCATTGCTTAAATGCATTCTGGGAAAAATACTAAATGCTGACAGGCAGTAACTGACTGCTTATGACCTTGCTTATAATGCCCAGTCGTAACTGCGCATGTCCCTTATGTCAGGTAGCTTGCGTTAGATGGAAACCATACTACATGATGTACCCATATCTGTTACATTAGATACTTTTTATCACTTCATAGCCTGGGAAGAAGAAGGCCCATTGTTCAACTGAAGGAGGTATATTTTTGCCTGAGAAAGTCCAGCCTACAGGCCTGGGCCCAACCAGAATGGTGTGACGGATATATGACAAAGTTTGATGGAAGCAATAATTATGATTTATTTCTGACTGCGATAGGGGGTATAAAACTTTATGTCTCCCATCGTAACCTTAGGGAGAGCTGTGGGGTCCAAAATCTTATTGGATCTGCACCTTCCTCCTTTGTTGATCAATAAAGTACAAGATCTGATTCTGCCCTACAGGATTGTACTGAGTGTTTTCTCAAATTGGGCTGGGGAAACACACACACACTCAGACAGGATTATATTCTGAACATCAACCTCACTTGTGCTTCTCTTCCCAGGTTTCTCTCCTGGTTGACAGTGGGCTGGAAAAGGAAGCCCGTCGCTGGGCCAGTCGGGCAGCCAAAGATTATAAGATCCAAACTGTCAGTGAGCAGGTGAGCACCCAGGCAGGCCCTGTATCGCCAGGAGCACATTCCATCTGGGAGTGTGTGTCTGCAGTTTGAGCGTGTGCTACTTTTCCGTGGAAGCTTCTCAGGGGTGAGACCTTGGCACCCCAGGGTGGAGCCTTGTCCCGGCAGGGTGGCCGTGGTCCCTCCAGGCACACGGAGACACAGAGCCCAGGGCCACCTGTCAGCTGCTGAGCAGACCCCCTTGAGATAAGGGTCTGCAGCAGAATCCCTAAGAACTGAGGTGTCAAACTCATTTGTTACGAGGGCCGGATGGGACATAAATGTCACTTTGTCGGGCCAGGCCGTGTGCGCCATAAAATATAATGCCAGATGTAAACTTTATAAAGGACACAGGCAAACCCAATTAACAATAATATCTTTTTACTCAGAATACAAACACAAGCAGTGGTTCCTAGCAGAGAGAGACTCTTGAGAGTCCCTTGGACTGCAAGAAGATCAAATCAGTCAATCCTAAAAGAAATCAACCCTGACTGTTCCCTGGAAGGCCAGATAATGAAACTGAAGCTCAAATACTTGAGCCACCAAATGAGAAGGGAGCACTCACTGGAGAAGACCCTGATGCTGGGAAAGACTGAAGGTCAAAGAAGACGGGAACGGCAAAGGATGAGATGGTTAGACAGTGTCACGTGCGGGGAGGGTGGGGTATAAATGAAATGAAATAAATAAATAAATAAATCATATGCAAGACTAGTCTTTTTTCCCCCAAGGGGTACCATAAAAGGGGAAGTACCTTACATTTCGATATATACCAGTTGCTCGTGGGCCAGGTAAGAGCCCTGGATGGGCCGGTTCCAGCCTCTGGGCCTTATGTTTGACACTCCTGCCCAAGAATCTTCCCCAAGTCTGGGCATGGAAACAGAGGCTGCTGCTACCATTATTCCAGCTTGGTTTTGAGAAGGGGCTGTGGCCCTGTGGTAGAGCATCTGCCTGGCATGTAGAAGCTCCCAGGCTCAATCCCCAGCATCTCCAGTTAAAAGGACCAGGCAGCTGGTGATGCAAAAGACCTCCGCCTGAGACCCTGGAGAGCCGCTGCCAGTCTGAGTAGGCAATACTGACCTAGATGGAACAAGGGTCTGATTCAGTACGAGGCAGCCTTGTGTGTTCTGTTGAAGGACGAGTTCACCAAAACAGGTAAAACAAAAGAGCTCCCAGTTTCAGAGCTCACCAGAGAACTTGAGGGGAAAGACAAGATGTTGCTAGTCAGTTAAAAGGAGGTGAGTTTGGGCCAGAACCACTGAGCGTTGCAAGCACAAGCCTTTTGGCGTGAGTTTTTCCTATTGGTTTATTTGTTGTTTAATTAACTGGTGTCGGTGTATGTTTTTGTAAGCCGCTTAGAGTCCTTATTGGGGAAAGAGCAGGGGGGAAAATGTCCTCAGTCAATTGATCGATCAGTAGAGGTTTGCAGCCCTGTTGCCTGAATCCATGTTGGGTGTATTTGTGGGGCTGTAGGTTCTGCAGAGAATGGAAGCCCGAAGGCAGCAGGTCAATGAGACAGAGATGTCCGGCATGGAGAAAAGGATGGAAGACTTGAAGGAAAATATCCGGAAGGCAGAGGTGGGTCTACTTGCATTTTTTTGCTGGTCTGTCGTTCATCCACAACTTTAAAAAAACATTCGCTAGAGAAGAATGATGTGGCCAGTTACCACCCAGTCCCCAATTTGCTCTTCCTGGGCAAGATTTATTTATTTATTTATTTATTTATTCCTTCGACTTCTATCCCGCTCACCCCCTAGGGGCTCTGAGCGGCTTACAATTCCGATTTAACCAATCTAATCTAGGGCCACATATGTAGGGGAGGTGAGAAGCCTACCAGGCACCCTTATGATGGAGAGAGCTGTAAACGCTAGTTGCGAAAGCTGAGGTCTTGAAAGACATTGTGCTTCCCACATTTGATGGGGTTCATCTAACCCTTGCTGACTCAGTTAAGAGCCCAGGGGATGTATTAGACCCAGCATTATGTCTGGAGAAGCAAGCTAATGCTTTTTTCTATCTTCATTTAACCCAGAAGATGGCCCCCTAGCTGGCAGATCAGACACATGGATCCATGCTATAGTACCAGTGAGGCTAGACTGTTGTAATGCACTCTGCATGGGTCTGCCCTTAAAGTCAACTCCGGAACTAGTTGGTACTAGGGGTGTGCAAAAAAATAATAGTTTTTTTCCAATTCAGGTCTATTGGACCTGGAAAACATTGGTATTCCCGAATACCAGTATTGGTATTGTATTGGTCTTCCAGTAAATATTCGGGAAACCCGAATTTATTTGGCTCCATTATACCCTATGGGCACCATCCCCATAGGGCATAGTGGAGAATTTCACTCACAACTCGTGAGTGAACTGAAGGCATTTATAAAGACCGCAGTCTCTTTAAATGTCTTCTAGCTGTGCCTGAATAAAAGCTGAATAATATCGGCTTTTATTCCGGCGTGGCTATTTCGGTAGTTGAAGCAGATTGTCCAGTCTGTATTTAGCTGAATAAATACACGAAAAATACTGATAAGGCATTTTTGGGGTATTTATCGGCTCGGCATATACCAAGTACACACCCCTAGTTGGTACACAATGCCACAGTCCAGTTGCTGGCCAGCACTAGGTGGAACATGCATTGCACAGCCATTGTGCAGTTCCTTCTATTGATTCACCATCAGTTATCGGGTTCAATTCAAGGTAGTGGTTATCATGTACAGTTAATGGCCTTGGATCCGGGACCTCATTTTCTGCTATGCTGCACTGCTGGTCCTCACAAGGGAGACTAGATACCTTGGATGACCACAAGAGTTGCCCTTGTGCCTGAGTAAGCAACTGTCACAGGCTAGGGTGTCAGTCAAAGGGAGTCCAGAACAAGCCAAGGTCAGGACAGGAGCCAAGAAGACAGTGCAGAGCCAGAAACAAAGAGCCAAGTCCAAAATCACTAACCAGAAGTGTAGTCCAAAGCCAAGCTGGGGTCAGGAGCCAGGAACACAAAGCCAAGTCCAAAACCAGGGGGTCCGAATGTCTAGGTGCAAGAGCTGAGCCGAAGTGGATGCAGGCAGCATGACGCTGACTTGTTGCTTTCACAAAGAATACTGCCCAGTGTGTGGAGTTAAATGCTGTTACCAATTAGCCAGCTGCACGATCGCCCAGGTTCCTGTTAAAACTCTGGGCTAGCTGAGCGCCTCCCTTGTAGCCTGGCCTCTCTTTGCTTGGTTGCTAAATTTTGCCGGAGTCGCTCCCTTAAACGAGTCACACATGGGGGTGAGTCAGGAGAACTTTCAGCTTGCCGTTCTTCCTTCTTATCTGAGCCAGGTGTGAAGACTGCTGTTACAGGCACTTGCCAGCTATCCTCTGCTGCTTCAGAGGGGCCAGCGGTGGTTTCTGCAGGCTTTGTCAGCTCATCCTCACCCATGCCCATGACAGCAACACAAAGTAGATTCGCCTCCTTAGCTTAAAATGCACTGGACAGGTGAATGGCAAGCCATCCATGTCTCTGTGGAAGAAAGCTGATGTAGCCAGCGCCAGATGTCACTGTCAAAAACTCAGCTCTCAGCCTTTTGATGCCCTCTCCAGAACCACTGGCTCTTAACACCATGTGAGAGCGGCTTCCAAGGGCTGTCCCCACCCCACCCCCACATTGGGCTCAAAGCAGTCCAAGCAGGAGGAGGAGGTCAAATCATGTATGTACCTGACTGGGAAATTAAGGAGGATGAGGAGGCTGAATCTGGAGGTGGGAAAAGGGGGCTGAGAAGGGTCATGTGTTCCCAAGGTTAAAACTCCTTGCAAATAACTCCCTGACCTGGGTAGCCCAGGCAAACCCAATCTCATCACATCTTGGAAGCTAAGCAGGACCGACCCTGGCAAGTACTTGGAAGGGCAACCTCCAAGGAATACCAGGGCCAGGACACAGAGGCAGATAATATCAAGCCACCTCTCTGAAAGGACCTAGCCCCACTGTCAGAATCACAGCCGTTAATAAGATACACGCTTGCTTGAAGGTATTATTTTATTAGAGCCATGAAACGGATAGAACACAATTTCTGTCAGTAATGACTGAAAGGGGGTGGAGACAGATATCATAAAGCAGTTCAAACTAATTAAGAGCCAATAGACAACATTCCCGCTTGCGCCAGAAGCAGACTTCTCGCGCTCAAACCTTGAGAACGTAACTGTTGAGACAATTAAAACAAAAAGGCATTTCTCACAAAACATATCAGGCTAGCCGAAGCAAAAAGACTCCAAACATCAACCACCCGCTCGCTTTTAGATAAGGGAGCTGCAAAGCACTGCTGGCGTACATGGAAAGGAATGTAGTTACCATTAACACAGGAGAGGAGGTGGGACATGCGCAGATGAAGTAACGTACCATACGAGGAATGGGGGGGGGAATACAATGTACAATTCAAAAGCATGAAACAATTGGCAGCTTGCTGACACCCACTAGGGGTCGCCAGAAGTCACCGTGACTTCGGGCTCACAAGCACATACACACACACACAAAATAACTCACCAAAATAAACTGCAACTCCTTGCAAATCAGATTAGCACACCAGGGACAAAGCAGCACAGCTCACTGCGTGCTGTATTCCCCCTCCTTTACATTCTTCCACTTCCAAGTAGGGGATCGGTGAAAAACCGGGATCTCTCCCCTGCAGTCCCTTCTGCCACTGAATGGACAGGCTCTCCTGACACCCAGGTCATCAGCTTCAATTAGCACTGCTGACTTCTGCCAGAACTCCAGCAGGCAGCTGGGATCCAGGCATCTCCTGCCCAAGGTCCCAGAGGACCGTCCCTCTCCATTCTGCCCAGCCCCTTTTGGAGAAGGTGCACCACTGACTTCACTGCAGTGGCCTCTCACCCCCCCCCCCCCCCACACACACACCCTCTCGACTGCAGGATTCCCACATCTTAAAGACTCAGTTTGTGTCTTTTAAGTGTGGTCATTGTCATGCTGGGAATAAAGAGCCAGAAAGTGGCAAAAAACCTTATTTGGCCTGGGGATACAAAGAAGTGAGAAAAGGTGCCAGTATCTGTAATGTATTGGAATACTTACATGAATCACCTCATTCAATTCTCATGTAAAGCTTCAAGCCTGACGAAGGCTCCTCCGACCTGCCTCCCTATTGGTCGCTCTGCAACAGCGGCCAATCGGAACTATGTTGGCTCCCTGAGAGGGAAAGACTCTCATTGGTCTTTATCCAAGCAACCTCACTGGTTGATTATTGTAAACTAGAAATAAGGCCCGTTGTGGAAATAAATACAACGGGATCTAGAAAGAGGCTCTGGGAGAGTGCTCTGGCTTTGGGCAAACAGTGTTAGTCTGCTTTTAAAACATGAACCTGGGACCTGCACACCACCAGAATACAGCAGGTTCCATAGGCAACTGACATTCCAACTGCCTTGCGGGGGGGGGGAGTTTGAGGTGTGGAATGGAGTGAAGTCCAATCAGCTTCCATATGCAAAAGACCAGGTTGTCGCAGCAGTTGTGGTGTGGGCGGGACCCGGGCTTTGCCTTCTGATTGGTGGTGATATATGCTGAGGAGCAGTGCCATCAGCCATACACTAAGGGAGTGCATTTTAGAATTAGAACTTTGGCACCTACTATTCAATTATATATAAGGAGAGATAGGTGTGGCTACATTAGCCCGGGAATGTTTAAAAGGAGCCTAGCTCCCAATGTTAATCTGTTCTGGTTTTGAATGCGTTTGAGTGTTTGTTCACTACTTCAATAAAGCTGAATCACTGAGCTGAAACCACTCTCCGAGTCTTTGTTAGCCCGATCGAACAGTATCCACTGGTGGAAGTGGAGAACGTCCTTGTGTGCTGTGGCGGTGCTGGTGTGTCGCTGCTCCCATGGCCCAGGGGATTGCGGGTGTCGTGAAGGTGATGGTTCTCTGCTTCCAAACGCCACTCGGTGTCTGTCCTTGGCAGTAGGTCACCCCTGCCGTCCCTGGTGGCCCCTTGGCTCTTTTTAGGGTGCCGGTTGCATGCGGAAGGAATTGCTGTGGGCGGCCACCCGAGGCGGTCTTCTTCTCCGTTTCAGGTCAGCAAGGTGAAGGCGGAGGCTCGGCTGTTGCTGCTGCGGCAGGCTGGCTTGGATGTAGACCCCTGGCTAGCCAGTGCCATGGGGCAAGTCCTGGATGAAATCGAGCAAGAGCGGCGGCTCAGCGAAGCACGCAGATCCGAGAGGGGCTCCACTCCAGCGGTAAGAGGAGTCTCTTTCCATCCCGTGGCTTCTGAGAGACGGCAGGCCACAAATGGGAATCTTCCTGTTCTGAGCAAGTGGAGGCAGAGGGATCTGGACGGCTTTGGTCCCTCTTCAGTGCACCCAGTTGACCTCTCTTCTTCTCAGGGCTCTCTGAAGTAGGGCATCTTCCCCGCCCATTCAGGTGGCATTTTGAACCCCACAGGCCCTCAGACAACATTAACGTGCTTCCCCCCTTTCTTCATTTGTCTCTGAGTTTACCCAGATCAGAGGACAAACGCAAGTCTCCACCTTGACCCTCTGAAAACCTCGCTGAGAAAAGGGGGCTCAAACAGATGATTTGAAGATTGCAAGTCTCATTTCATCCATAGAATGCAAACTGCATGTCCGTGCAGCCTCAGTTCACCTTGGGGTTGTGCAGGGAAGGGAAGAGAGCATTTAACTCTTCAATCTCTTTTTGGTTGTGCTGCTCAAAAACAGGCTCCCTTCTTTTCCATTAGCATTTTAAAAGGGAAAAAATTGCTTGTTTTTAAAGGATAGGTCCACGCTGGCTTTATTGGATCAGTATCTTGGCATGAACTTAGATTTAGGTGGGTAGCCGTGTTGGTCTGAAGTGGTATGGGAATCAACTGCTTCTTGCTGAGATCTGTTGAGGCACTGCTCTTTTGTGGATTGCTGTTTTTAGATATATTGTGACTGTCAGTTTGTTGTACTGTGATGGAACCCCTGCCCTGAGCCCGCTTGAGGGGAGGGTGGGATGCAAATCGAATTAAACAAACAAAGTTTGAGTCCAGTGGCCCCTTTAAGACCAACAAGCATGCACATGGAAGCTTACACCTTGAATAAACGTCATTGATCTTAAAGGTGCCACTGGACTCAAACTTCAGAGTGAACTGTGAGGCTGGATGACTTGCCTTCCTTCTTCTCCTCTCTTAAGCCGTTCCTCTCATTCTAGAGTCTTATCAGCATTCACCACTCTTCAGTGGAGAAGCATTACTATAGACTAATTTTTCTTTGGCCCATTTCAATAATATTCCCTAAAGGAGAGCTCAGTTCTGGGCCCTTCAGACATACCTGTAGCTGTGTGGGCGCTGTTCTCCTGTGCATCAGTTGAGTTTCCGTGGCTTTTTCCGGGCGGTGTGGCTGGCTGGTAGTTGTGTCCCTTGAGTGAGAGGGCCTTGGGGATTGGAAGGGGTCCTGTGCAAGAAACAAGGACCCTCTCCTGCCGGAGCTGCTCAAAGCCCCTTGGTTCTCAGAAGAACGGAGGGGAATGAAGGGTCTGGGAGAGGACTGGGGCAATGGGGGAGAAGGACTTGTGGTGAATCTTGACTTAATATTTTTATTTAGATATTTATACCCCATTTTTCTCTCCAGTGGGCACCCAGAGTGGCTTACAGTCCTCCGTTTTATCCTCACAGCAACCCTGTGAGGTAGGTTAGGCTGAGAGAGAGACTGCCCCACGGTCGCCTAGCAAAGCTTTCATAGCAGAGTGGGGAATCTTCACCCAGGGTCTGCCATTTCTGCTCTCTCGTGCCCCGGCAGCCCCATACCTTCTGTGCTGCACATGACTTTTATGCCTCCATGCCCTACCGCCATCCTCGACTGAGTGCATGCCCCAGGAATGACTTAGGACTTTTCTCCAGGCAGAGGAATTCGATCCGGCCGAGTTTGAAGATTATGACGACAGCACAGAACTGTTTGAGGACACTCGGCCGAGCCCGGGCATGACCCGCACCTACCCTTCGTCTTGCAGAGTGTTCTTCCCATACCAGGTAATGGCGCCTCTCTTCTCCTGGACCTGAACGCCTTCTTGCCGTGTGCCCTTTGCACAGCAGCTGATCATTTGAAGCCTTGATACAGTCTCTGGGTCGTTGCCAGAGGCTGAAGGAGGGTCCAGACTTTTAGGGTGTGGCCCCCTCAGGCACGGTCAGCAAGTGCCTTAATTGCAAGAGAGTAAACCAAAGAAGGGATCGCATTTACAGGGAATTATATCAAACAAGGAGCTGCGGTGGCTCAAGTGGTTAAGACGCTGAACTGCAGGCTGTGGAAGGTCGGTAGTTCAGCAGTTCGAGACCCGAGGGTGCCGCATGACGGAGTGAGCTCCCGTCTCTAGTTCCAGCTCCTGCCAACCTAGCAGTTCGAAAGCAAGAAATTGCAAGTAGATAGATAGGTGCCACTTCGGTGGGAAGGTAACAGCATTCCGTGCGCCTCGGTGTTTAGTCATGCCGGCCACATGACCACGGAAATGTCTTCGGACAGCGCTGGCTCTTTGGCTTGGAAACAGAGATGAGCACCGCAACCCTAGAGTCGGATTCGACTGGCTTTCGAGC